TTGGCCGACGTTTTCTTCGGGGAGACAAACGACACAGCCTTAGCCGCACCACGCGAAATGGCAGACTTTGCCTTCGACATGGCCGCGCTGACCTGGGAAACGACAGATTTGGCGGATTGAGAGAGACCGGAGGACGAGGAGGAAGAAGATTCAAGGAATCTCTTGGACATGTTGGGTGGTCGGCGCGAGCGCGGAGGAAGAGGCCCATCCGAATTGGACATGCCGTGAATTGTGGTGGTATTCAATGTGTCGATGCGTGGGTGTGTGAAGTGCTAACGAAAGTGGGTGACACGAGTGAGAACTTGTCTGTTTTAAACTGGAAGTCTCTTCGCACCGAGACGATAATCGTACTCTAATCGCGATAATCTCAGCACATTCAAGGTATCGATAATGCTTCTAGCCTACTTTCTCTGCCAAGATACTGCTGCGGTCAGTGCCAAGAGAGAACGGAACTTGGAGAGAAGCTTATGCATGTGCAATAAGCAACCTCGGGACTCGGTTTTTGAGCTTGGAATGGGCAATAAAGTGCGATAACACTATCTGGCACATCTTTACTGCTATCAGAGGGCAGATCAGCCGTCAACTGACCGCGGGCCTGGTCACGGGCCTGCGGGATCTGGGGGGGCGGCCCGCACCCGTACCCGCGGAGGCCCGTACCCGCGGCCCGTCACGGGCTGTGCAGCCCGTGACAATCACTAGTCCGGGGACACCGGTGATCGAAACTGCGACCAGGCCGGTCCGGCGGTGCCGGCCAGCTGATGACGACCCCGCCCTGCGTACTCCCGAGTCGCTGCGGCCTAGGGTGCTGTGAGTAACTGTGGTTTCGAAACGGTTTTGAAACCGGTTTCGAAACACGTGTTAGTTTTGAATGCCGTGGCCGGCCGACCCGGTTTCGAAACCGACACGTGATTGTCCGGCAAGCCCGGGCCCGGCTGTCAGGGCTTGATGCCCTCCCAATATCACCTGCACTTACTGGCGGAAGGCCGGGCAGATGGGTGTTCACGGCAGTGGGGCTCCACTGCTGCTCCAGTTGGGCTTGGCGCATAGTGTGCCTCGGGATTGTGATACCCGGCGCTGTCCCGAGCCGCCGACTGTCAGCGGACCCCCCCGGCCGGCCGGTTTCGAAACTGTTTCGAAACGGGGGGTGTTTCGAAACCGGTTTCGAAACCGGTGTGAGTAATGTTTTTTGCATTACTCACAGCACCCTACTGCGGCCTCAGCGTGGGCGGGACCACAACCCGGCGGTGCAGGGGCACATCAGGAAAATAGAATCCTCCTGGGGCAGCTGGGCCCAGCTCTTCCAGCTCTCCCAGCTCCCCAGAACCAAACTGGCCCCAATGTTCACGCCCCGCTCCAGTTTTGATTCTGGGCCCAGAATCAAAACTGGTGTCATTCACTGTTCTGGTATGATCCCGCTCTTTCTGGTGCAATAGAATTAAAATCCTGTATATTCATGTAGTAGTACAGTACAGTAGCGATGTCCGGGCCTTTCTCTGTCCGAGTCGCATCCCCTGCTCAGTGTTGCTCTATCGTGGCCGGGCCCGTACACAGTCAGCGCTACCAGCAACGCCATCGCCGTTGCTAACCCTCCTCTTCTCCCTCTCTGAGCTCCTGCAAGTTGTGTCGTCATCGTAGTACTTGAGGACGATGAGTTATGGCTGGAGAGAGCAAAGCGGAAAGCGTACCGTTCGACAACTCTAAGCGCTCCTTCCAGCCCTCCGGAGCCGCGGTCATAGATGGTATGCTTGTGAGGGGTAGCACACGCACGGGGATGATGCCGCTCATGGCGGGGAGGTGGATCTCCGTGAAGGCGTCCCCGGCTTTGGCATTCGCGGTGGCTGGGGCGGTTTTGCCGGCGGCGGGCGGGGGCCGGGGTGGGTGCCGGCGGGGATTTCGGGCCGACGTCGGCGGGCTGGGGCGTGCGTATTAGGTGCGCGACGAGGGGGGAGGAGTGGGGGCGACACATGCACACCTTCTGCTGTTGCTCCGGGACGGGCATGGGGACAGGGACGGCGAGGGGCGGCGGAGACGACCGCGAGGACGATGAGCACGCCGAGCTGCATCTTGAGGTGAGCCCGACCATTGTGTTGCTTGAGTTTCCTTGACGGTATTGACGATGTATGCGACTTGCGGGCTTGAGGAGCAGGGAGGGCTTGATGTCAGGGCTTGCGAAGGAAGGAGCTCGCTGCGCGGGCCATCTTGCGCAGGTGGAGTTGTTGGGAGGGCAGTAGGAGTGGGAGTGTAGTCGATGAGCGGCGTAACAGCGCCGAAGGTCTTAGGGGACGAGACTCGAGGGCGGGCGAGGGGAGGAAAGTGGGGGGAGGAAGCAACCCCGATAAAGCGTAACAACCATCAAGCACGCAATATCACATCATGCGGTGATCACATGTGCTGATGCCACTGGACTTAGCGATTTTCATTGCGAGCCATCGATTCTGGTACCAGGACAGTGATTCTGGGGGAGAATTGGATTCTGGAAGCTCTGGCCCCAGTGCCCCAGCTCTCCAGCTTGCCCAGCAGCCCCAGTGGATTTTTATTTTCCTGATGCAGCTGGACGTTCTTCACGCCAAGACAATGCCTGGCCCGGCAAGGGCCGCGAGGCGTCGGCAGTACGATTGGTACCGCGAGGAGCCTAAGACTCCGCCCATCCGCAGATCGCTCCTCGACCGGATCGGTGCGCGTATTGCGGCTCGGCCTGCGCCGGAAGGCGAGCGGGCAGCTAAGAGGGCACGGCGCGGCTCGAGTCTTGAACCGGGGGAAATCGAAGAGAATTAATGGTGTTGGGAACGTCGATACTAGTAGTGCACGGCGCGGGAGCGTAATGCCGATTACGCGTAGCAAGGCAAGGCTCGGGACGTGGCGCGAAACTTGAAGCTGGCAAAGGACCACGTGTTTGGCGAGATACGGAATAAATGCAGACAATTAGAGGTATTATTAGTATTAAGAATCAAAATTAAATGTGTGGTGTTCAAACTTTGCACAGCAGGATGGTCGAGGCGACGCTGGCTGAGTCCCCTGAATGCACATGTCCTGTTTGCGAGACGCCAGCGCATTGAAAAGAACAGTAAGACGAGCTTGATTTGCCGCACCTGACACGTCAGAGCGCGTGTCGCGGCTGCTGGATCTCTCGTCCCTCGGCGTCGCGGCACAGCGTGTTGGTCGAACGCCTTCTGACCTGCGGCATATGGTGGTCACTTTGGGGAAGTATTCGCGCGACACTTATTTACGCAATTTTGACATTTTGCGACATATTTCCACACAACGACACAGTTTTCTTGTTTACTCACTTCGCTTTTGGGAGTCACTAATCAAACAAGGCAATTGTATTGAAGCTACGGGGGAGAGGAGGACTCAAGAGGAGCCAACTCTGGGTGCCAGCCGATGACGCGAGGATGCCCCCCATCGGCTGGCTACAACTGCCTTGCTAGAGATGTTGAGTACCCTGTGAAATCAGTCAATACAAGAGGGATGGGTGGGCGGGGCAAAGAAAAATCGCTTGTCAAAAGCGAGGTGAAGGCAGGTGTCAAGAAGAGTCTGATGACTAAGACACCTGCCTTCTCCCGTTCGTCACAAGAACGTGCACTGTCAATCACAAGTGATAGACAGTGCCTCACTCTTGTTTACTCACTTCGCTTTTGGGAGTCACTAATCAAACAAGGCAATTGTATTGAAGCTACGGGGGAGAGGAGGACTCAAGAGGAGCCAACTCTGGGTGCCAGCCGATGACGCGAGGATGCCCCGAAAGAAAGCTGCCCAGCCGAGAGCAAGGCGCTGGCTAACCCAACAGAGTGGCAGCCCTCCGTTGATGTAGGTTAGTGGTATGGAGGGGTACAAGAATGTCTAAGGAGCGCCAGTACTTCAGAAAGGCATCTGAAGACCATCTCCCCATTGCCTTGACTACATCTGGCGGGACATTGAGAAGGAGAAGTTCGGTGGTGCCGCCCGATACGAAAGCTGTGTCCGGTGGATCTCGGATATCCTGCCGCGACCCAAATAGTATTACAACGCTCCAGAAATTTTGACCGCGTGAGAAGTTGTGACTGTCCGTTTTGATCCCGGAAGGCAAACAACGAGGAATGGCGAGGTAGATTGCTGGATGAAAGATGGATTTTGAGCGCCACTCGCGGGTTGAAAGGACTGCTCTGATCAGTCAGTGTCACCCGGTCTCCTTCCTTCTTAGTTTTCGTTCGGGGGAGACGAATGGAGGTGGCGTGTGAAGAATAATTCTCCTGTACATCTGCTCGGGTAGGCTTGTCCGATAGAGAAGGGTCTTTCTGACTTGTCGGGAGAATCTCGCCCAGGCGGCACTGCCCCCAGAATGCAGTGCAGGCCGCCGCGTACACGGCTATGTCAAGCCGGGAGTCATGATCGAGACCTTGGTGAAGTACTCGTAGCATGTCTGAAGTGATTGGTGGTCGAGGAGTTCGTTTTGAGGAGTCGGGAGTCAGATTGTCTACGCCAGCTAAGACGTAGTGCAGTCTAGCGCCTCCTTGCCAAGGCTTATTTTGTTGGATGTGCCAAGCCTTTAGTGCAGCGATATTATTCCGGGCGGTGGAGCCCGCCTGGCGACCAGCGCTTGAAGCCGCAAATGCACAGAGGACAAATTCGTTGGTAGGGAGCTGAAAATGCTTGGGTATTCGCTCCCGACGGCAGAAATCGAGGAACCGGGACACGGCAGAGTTGTAATTGCCAAGAGTCGATGATCTCCAGCTGTTCCTGAGAGCATGCTGCACTTGAATTTCCAAGTGCTGTGCTCCTCGAAACGGTGCCGATAGGGTTGTCGCTCCAAAATGGCTGGGGATGTGATGCATCTTATGCGCTGGCCGTTGAGAACGGAGGGGAGGAGTAGGACCTGCATTTGAGGACGGCATGCTGTCTGCTGAAGCTGTGATTTTGAACGAACAGAGACGAGGGTCGTTTGTACGCATGATGATGGTAGAGGTTAGAAGGCCGTGTGAATGTGCCAAAAATTTTGACATATGAGATGGATGAAATTGAAATCAATACAAGAATTCACGTATACAAAAGGGTAAAGTGAACGAAGGTGCCTTAGGGATTGGCGGCTCTGGCTCTAAACCCCGAGAAGGTCTGTCTGCTACGTTGAGTGCTGACGGAATGTAAGTCGTAGTGACCCATAACGAATGTGATCGGAGTAGTGAAACGATTCGGCGTAGAATCCGATTTTGTTCCGGATTTCGTGATTTTCCGCCGTCGAGTGCACCGATGACACCCTCGTTATCGGAGTTGACTTTGAAATGAGTGTCAGAGAACCCTCGGTGAATGGCCAAGCGAAGGCCGAGCTCGATTGCCAGCATTTCCGCCCAGCCAATATCACGGCCCTCAGCTTTCCACCCCGGGCGCAACTGCCAGGACTGCCAAACGCCATCGAAAATCACGCCAATGCCAAAGGACGTGGACGCGTCTACATAGAACTCAACAGGGTGGATTGCAGGTGGGCGAATCAATGCGGAACCGCAAAAAGTATTTGCAAGTTCTGCGCGCCACCAAGCGAGGTCTTCTAGAACAGTCGCGTTTGGCGTTCTCTTCGAGAATGAAGACTTTGAGTGCGCAAACGACGCGGCGAAACTGGAGATGGCCGGTAGGCGGGAGCGCCCCTCAGGGAGGGCAAGCGAACAGTGAACCAAGGTGCCGAGGACGGACTCCGCCTCTTTGCGAGAAAAGCGTGCGCCTCGTGTCCAGGCTTCCAGCTTCGTGATGTAGCGTGCTTTTTTCTCCGCGGGGATCTCGACGGTTTTTGCTGTCAGATCCCAGATAAAACCGATATATCTAAACGTTGCTGCAAATGGTCGCGTTTTCGAAGGCTTCCACGGCCACCCAAGGGTGTCCGCCAACGCGTAAATTTCGTCGAGTCCGTATCGAAAGCCAGGGGGTTCGGCTGCAGATGGAGGGAAGCGAAAGAAAAGGAAATCATCGACCCACTTCTTCAACGGCCCCATGTTATTCGCGATATATAGCGCTTTGATTGCATCGGCAATACGTCCAAAGACACCTGGGGAGCTGGACGGCCCGAACGGGCGCGACGTGATCCATATAGCACCTCCCCTTCCACTCAATGACGAAGTGTCTTTGTTGGGAAGGGTGAATGGGGACACGACGGAACGCGGCGTCAACGTCCAGCGTAGCGGCCTCGCCTGCGACATGGCGCAGGCATACTGCACGGAGCAACGATCAACCTTGGCGCGTCAAGAGCGCAGTATATAGTTCCGCTACCTAGCAGGCGGACCCTTAGAGTTTCTTCTCTTTGGATCCTCCCCTGCTAGGTCAGCCCCACTTGTATTTGCTTACTTCTATTCACTCTTTGGATCCTCCCCTGCTAGGACCTTGATCTCAGGCCTCCGGGGTTGCCCTTACAGCAGAAGAAACTCTCTACGGGATCAACCGGACAAGATTGCTAGGTTCGGCGCTGACTCAGGCTCGGAATACGAGTCCATTCCGCCCTCGTCACCGCCCCTACCACTTGTCCCCTCCTCCTCTGTCACTCCTGTCGTCCCCGCACCTGTCATGCCTTCCGGAGCTACTCCTGACGCTGACACTCGGCTGGATGCACTCGAGGCGAAAATCGACCGCCTAACTGAGGCCCTTACTCTTCTCACCACCCAGGCTTCCGCTGCCGCTGCCGCCGCTAATACTGCTGGCGGACCCCAAACAACACCACCCCGGAGACGTCGATTCCGACTCCGACCCGGTTCAGGGCGATTCGAAGCCCTCTTTGGCGACATCAACCTCGCCTCAAAATTGGTCTTGCGACCAAACCCTCCGTTCACCTTCAACGGCGATCGGAAACGCGGCCGCCGCGTTCCTTTACGCGGTCCGCACCTACGCCCGCCTTGCCCCTGAGGCCTTTGTGGTCAACGGAGAGGCGAGTGAGGAAAAGGCCGTCCGCTATGCCATGTCGTTTATGGCAGAAGGACCCGCTCAGCAATGGGCGGAGCGCCACGGAAGCAAAGCCCCGTTTCCGTTTCCGTCCTGGGGCTCGTTCGTTTCCGAGTTTCGACTCCGGTTCGTCGAGGAGAACGAGCAAGATCATGCTCTCTCCAAACTGGAGACTTCCGCCTATCACATGGGCACAAAGGATGTCTACCAGTACACCGACGACTTCGAGGACCTGATGGACCTCGCCGGATTCGAAGACCGCGTTGGTCAAGGTGACCAAGTTCCGCCACGGACTTGACCCCTTGATCAACAACGGAATCACGTCCTCGAACGACCCCCCGGACCTCCGGGACTACCTTAGCTGGCGCACCCGGGCCTTCCGTCAATACGAGGCCCTGGTCCGGGCCAAGCTGATCAAGTCAGCCGCCCCCAAGACGCCTGGCGGTTTGATTCGGACTCCGTTTCCGGTCAACCGCATCCCGGCTCCGGCCCCTTTCCGCCCGGTGGCTCTCGGTCGTGCCACCCGCGGCCCGCGCCCCCGCTCCGGCGCCTCCAGCTCCCGTCCCCATGGAGTTGGATCGCACTAGGGCTCGGGGTGCCCCTCGTCGCGCCTGCTTCAGGTGCGGCGACCCAAACCATCTCGCCGGGATTGCCCCCTCCCCGCGGACGTCCGCTCAATGGACATCCTCGACGAGGTAATCCAACAACTCGGTGACGAGATGTTAGCGGAGTTGATCGCCCGCTACTCGGACACAGCTGCGCTGCCGGAGACGGCTGCGGAGTCGATGGCCGGAGAGGATTTTGTCCCCCGCGACGAGTGACTGGTGTGCCCTCGTTCGCGTCCATAAATCGTTTCGCTTGTTTGTATGACGAATCAATTCCTTTGCCCTACAACGAGCCTGAAACGAAAGACATACCCTCCCCTGCCCCCATTTCGACTCCGTCTCCGACTCCGCCCGCGACTCCGGTTGTCGTCCTTCGCCGCCTCACTGCCTGGGAAAAGAAATTGCCCAAGCAGTACACTGTCGCTGCCTCCCCTGGAGTAAACTCCCTCCACCTCCCGTTGGAGCTAGAGTCCACCACCAGTGCGTTGAAGCTCTCCCTTTCTGGGCTTGTTGACTGTGGTGCCACCTCCGACTTCATCGACACGAACTACGTCGCTCGGAATGGCATTCCGGTCCGCACCCTGGCGCAGCCGATTCCGGTCTTCAACGTCGATGGCACTCCGAATGATGCTGGCTCCATCAACCAGATCGCGGACTTGGTCCTACGCTACAAAGGCCATTCCGAGCGCGTTCAACTTCGCCGTCACCCATCTCGGTAAACAAGACCTCATCCTGGGGTACTCTTGGCTGCGGAAGCATAACCCAGAGATCGATTGGGAAACCAAGGAGGTCAAGATGACGCGGTGCCCCCGCGGCTGCTCCACTTGCCGCGAGGAAGAACGCGTTGAACGGACTGAGCTACGGCGACTCCGGCTGCTCCAGAAGCGACTCCGCTCCCGGCCCGTTCCCCTCGGTCTGCACCATGGACCTCTCTGGGCCTGACGACGGAGACGATTCCGTCTCCGGTGACGACTCCGCCCTGCCTGATCTGATGCCGGACTCCGACGATGATGAAGACGATGGTCAGCTTGAAGATGGTGACCGCATCTTCTACACCTCGTTCCGCCCCTCGGAGGAGATACGCGCTGGCAGTACTGTCTCGCAGCGCCTGGCTGAAGCCTTCGCCAGGAACTCCGCTCCCCGCCCTCCGAGATCCCGGACTGGGCTAAAGAGTTCCAGGACGTCTTCAACAAGGAGTCTTTCGACACGCTCCCGGAACGGAGAACCTGGGACCACGCCATCGAACTCGTCCCCGACGCTAAGCCGGCCAACTGCAAGGTGTACCCCATCTCGCCCCTTGAGCAACGCGAGCTCGACGCGTTCATCGAGGAAGGGCTGTCGACGGGCCGGATTCGCCCCTCCAAGTCTCCGATGGCGTCTCCGGTCTTCTTCGTCAAGAAGAAGGACGGCGGACTCCGCTTTGTCCAGGACTATCGGGCCCTCAACGCGATGACCGTCAAAAACCGGTACCCCCTTCCGCTGATCAACGACCTCATCAACCGGCTCAAAGGCGCTCGTTACTTCACCAAACTCGACGTTCGTTGGGGCTTCAACAACGTCCGGATCAAAGAAGGTGATGAGTGGAAGGCAGCTTTCCGGACTAACCGAGGCCTGTTCGAGCCCTTGGTGATGTACTCCGGCCTGACAAACTCTCCCGCGACGTTCCAAACGATGATGAATGACATTTTCCAGGACCTCATCCTTTCCGGAGACGTCATGATCTACCTGGACGACATCCTGATCGCCCATTCCGACCTCCGGAAACACCGACAGATCGTCCAGGAGGTCTTGCGCCGACTCCGAGAGCATAAGTTGTACCTCCGAGCGGAGAAGTGCGACTTCGAAAAATCGTCAATCGAATACCTCGGAGTCATCATCTCCCACAACCACGTCGAAATGGACCCCGTCAAGGTCGCAGGCGTCTCCGCCTGGCCGACTCCGGAAAACAAGAAGGATGTTCAGCAGTTCCTTGGGTTCGCTAATTTCTACCGCAGGTTCATTCGCGACTTCTCGGCCCTCCCGCGTCCTCTCTTTGCGCTCACCAAGAAGGACCAGCAATGGACTTGGGGGGCGACGGAGGCCTCCGCGTTCCAAGCGATCAAGGACGCGGTCACCTCGGAACCGGTCCTGGCGATTCCGGACGACGCACGGCCTTTCCGACTCGAGGCGGACAGCTCTGATTATGCGACGGGGGCGGTTCTTTCACAATCCGCCCCGGACGGGAAGTGGCACCCTGTAGCATTCTATTCCAAAAGCTTAAATGATGTCCAGCGCAACTACGAAATCCACGACAAGGAGATGCTCGCGATCATCCGCGCACTCGAGGAGTATAGACACTTCCTCGAGGGTGCCGCGCATCCCGTCGAGATTTGGACTGACCATAAGAATTTGGAGTACTTCAGGAAGACGCAGCACCTCAACCGGAGACAGGCCCGCTGGTCCCTCTACCTCTCCCGGTTCGACTTCACGCTGCACCACAAGCCCGGTCGCGACATGGGCCGACCTGACGCCCTCTCTCGGAGACCCGACCACGGAATCGATTCCGACAACTCCGACGTCGTCCTTCTGCGGCCCGAACTCTTCCACGTCCGCGCACTCGAGGGTGTTTCCGTTTCCGGTCCCGGTTCCGAACTTCTTCGCGACATTCGCGATGCCCTCTCCGGTGAGCCTGACCTGGAGGAGCCCGTCGCACTAGCGGCCCGGCAACTCCTAAAGGTCCAAGGTCAAGCTCGAGGCCCCCGCTCCTCACGCTCCGACGAGTGGGCCGTCTCCGGTGGTCTTCTCCACTTTCGTGGGAAGATTGTCGTGCCCAAGGACAAGGACCTCCGGAGGCGCATCATCGAGCTCTGCCACGACACTCGAGTCGCCGGACATGCCGGTCGCTTCAAGACCTTGGAGTTGGTCTCCCGGAACTACTGGTGGCCTCAGATGTCTCGCCATATTGGCCGGTACGTCGCGACCTGCGACTTGTGCTGTCGCACCAAGGCGCTCCGGAGACTGCCCCACGGAGAGCTACACCCGACGGAAACACCCCCGGAGCGCTGGCATACCGTCTCCGTCGACTTCATTGTCGAGCTCCCGAGGCCCATGGGTACGACGCGATCATGGTCGTCGTGGACACCCTTGGGAAGCGAGCCCACTTCTCCGAGTGCCATACCACGGTCGACGCAGTAGGAGCAGCCCGCCTCTACTACCGGAATGTCTGGCGCCATCACGGGACTCCGGAGAAGTACGTCTCCGACCGTGGCTCACAGTTCATCGCGGACTTCACCCGAGAACTCTGGCGTCTAATCGGCATCAAGCCAGCCACGTCCACCGCGTATCATCCGCAAACGGACGGTCAGACAGAGCGCGTCAACCAGGAGTTGGAGCAGTACCTGCGGATCTTCACCAACTATCAGCAGGACGACTGGGATGAGCTGATTCCGGCCGCGGAGTTCGCTTACAACAACCACGTCCACTCATCCACGCAGCAAGTCCCCTTCATGACGGACACGGGGACGGCTTCCGCGCATGGGCTTTGAACCCGGAGCCCGTTCCGCTATGGAGTCTGTGAACGAGTTCCGCGACCGAATTGCCACTGGGGTTGCCGAAGCCAAGGCCGCGCTCACTAAGGCCAAGGAAGAGTATAAGCGCTACTACGACCGGAGACGCACTCCGTC